CATATACCACTTGTCACGACCCAAAATTTACTAAAGGTCGTGATGGCGTCTAACACCACTGTCAGGCAAGCCAACGGTGATTGCTTAATTACTCATTTTAGTATTTTGAAATCATAATTTTCATTAATTAACTAGTATGAAATAGAATTTACAGGGTAAATGATAATATTTACACGAACTACAATAATGAACAACCTGTAGAAACCCCCAAAATCTGGTGTCACAAGTGCATGCATGAGCATCAACTAGGAAATATAATAAAATGCAACATCTGTCTAGAATACAAATTAGACATGAGAATATAAATAACTTTGATGGAGACTCTCCAAACTGCGGATCGTAACATGGAATGCAACTCACGATAAAGACCCTGCAATAGCCATGCCTTTGCACCCAAAAGACCACCAGACATATATGTACCTGCACAATAAGTGCAGCAAGTATAGCATGAGTACGTAAATCAACGAGTACCCAGTAAGTATCTAGCCTAACCCTATAGAAGTAGTGACGAGGGGTCGACATCGACATTTACTAGTGGTCCAATAACTAATAAGACAGATATAATAGAAGTAAACATATGTGAGTGAAAGTAAATAAACAAAATAACAAATATAAATACGTGGTAAAATTCTCCTTTCAGCAATAAATCAAGCTCTCAGCTAGTAGTTACCTCCTCAATCATTATATATAATGGACCTCACCAGATAGGTCGTCACAGTTCAAATCAGAAAACTCACAGATATACTGGCTTCTTGTAAATAATTACGCACGATTTCATCATAATATGTGCACTGTCGAGGGTCGAACGACACGAACCATAAATATATCTATTTTATTGCCGAGGCGAACGGCCCGTTCCCATGAGAATGTGATACATAATCCTGCCGAGGCAAACAACCCGATCTTATCTTAATGTGCACACTGCTGAGGGTCAAACGATACGAACCATAGATGTATCTATTATACTGCCGAGGTGAATGGCCCGATCCCATTATAATAAGAAGATTTAACGGGTCCTTTACCCCACTCACGAATAGACGTGTGAGTTATATATTTTTAAGGAAAACCTTTCGATGAAAACGCATAACACGAGAGAAATTAGTAAGAGGAGTACAGTTATTCCACGGCTAATCATGAAGCCCGTCGAATCTCTATAATAGCAAGTCTATCACTGTACACAAGTCTAGTCTCAAGTTGTAACGTAAAATAAAGGAATTTAATAGGCAAGAGACAACTCAAATAGAACAGTTATAGAATGACGGGAACCTAAGTCTACCCGGACATAACATGAATCTAGCTAAGTACAGACTCTCGTCACCTCGTGCGTATGTATTCCCCACAACAGATAGCACATATCAAATACATCACCTAGGGGTAGTTTCCCTCTCACAGAGTTAGACTGGAGACTTACCTCGCTCCGAAGTTCCATAACTGGCTCCAACGCCACTCAAACACCTTAAACCGATGCCTGTCTCTCCAAAACCAGTCAAACAATTGTGCAAATCTATAAATATATACTCAATTACCCATAATTAATCAATTTATAACAATTTCCAACTCCGCTCGAAAAGTCAAAAAAGTCAACCTTTGGGCCCACATGCCCGGTTCCGAAAATTTTCGAAGATGATCATTACCGATAATATTACAAACTCAAATATATAATTTATTCCTAATTTCATGTCCAATTTCGCGGTCAAAATTCAAAAATATCAATTTCTAGGTTTTTCTTCAAAATCTCAAAATGTTCACTAATTTTCATGTTTAAATCCACATACAAATCATGTATTTATCTCACAATATGTAGAAATTACTTACCTTGACATAGATGATGAAAACCTCTACTTGAAGCTCTCCAACAATCGTCTAAACTAAGAGAGAATGAAAGAAAATAGGTCGAATCCCGTATAAAACCAAGTCTCCCCGGCGCTGCCTCGCATCTGCGGTCCCCTGGTCGCTTCTCCGGCTTCAATCTCGCACCTGTGAGAACCCCGGACATGTCACCTCTCGCTTCTGTGATGCTTCATCCGCAGGTGCAATTCCGCTTTTGTGGAAACTCGACCGCATCTACGGTCCCAGCCTTCCCTAGAAAAATTTACTTCTGCGCTCCAGTGGTTGTATCTGCGATCACATAGGTGTAGGAACTTCTTCGCACCTGCGACCTCTGCCCAGTACACTCCCAGCAGCTTCTGCGGCTCACTGCCTCGCTTCTTCATGGTCGCTTCTGCGATGAAGCTTCCGCATAAGTGGTTGCACTAGCAACCAGAATTCTCAAGCTTTGTTTTTCCTTAAGTCCAAAATCCGATCCATTAACCATCCGGAATCCACCCGAGCCCCCCTGAACCTTGACCAAATATACCAACACATCCTAAAACACATTACGAACTTAGTCGAGGCCTCAAATCACGCCAAACAATATCGAAACTATAAATCGACAATCGAAATTCTTGTTTAAACTTTCAAACTTTCAAATTTCAACGAACGCGTCCGAACCATAAAAAATATTCCGAAATAATCCCAAACTTTGCGTACAAGTCATGAATCACAATACGAACCCATTCCAAGGCTCGGAATCCCTAACATACATCGATAACACTAAAGCCTACTTCAAACCAAACTTAGAAAATTCTTAAACCTTCAAAATGCCAACCTTTCATAATAAACATCGAAATGCTCTTGGGTGATCCGATACTCAATCCGAATATACGCTCAAGTCTGAAATCATCATACGAACCTTTTGGAACCTTCAAATCCCGATTCCGAGGTCGTTTACTCAAAAGTCAAACCTTAGTCAATTCTTCCAACTTAAAAATTCTAAAATTAGAATTTTCTTTCCAAGTCAACTTTGAACTTTTCGAAATTCAATTCCGACTACACTACAAGTCATAAAATATAAAGTGAAGTTACTCAAGGTCTCAAACCGCAGAACGATGCGATAGAGCTCAAAACGAAATGTATCGTTCACAAAGACGAAGTGATATGGTAAAACCTTTAAGCCAAGCATATAATCATTTTCATGTTTACTTTGCTAATATGGAAATGAAATAGTGACGCCAAAGAAATATCAATCGTTCAACCCACTGTATAAAGGGTAGAAATCCATAAATACAATAATTTGGTCTTACTTACGGTGAAAATCGGTGCCTTTGGACGAGGATAACTATAGCAATATATCTTTCAAAGTACGTGCTCAAGTAGAGTCTCGTGCTGATAACATGTTATAAAATAAAGACAATAAAGTAAATAAACTGAAAACAAATATAGAGGGAGATTGATATTTTTATTCAACTTCAAATTGATGTACATAATGAACTAAAATTTTCTCTATTTATAGAAGAAAGGAAGCAGTTGTGAGGCTTTTCAGGAAGTAGCTGCGAGGCTTTTCAGGAAACAGCTGCAAGACTTTTCAGGAAGCAACTGCGAGGCTTTTCTTGAGCTGCTTGTAAGCTGTCTGTATGAGCTGCTGGCAACTTGCCTGTTTTTATAAGAAGCTGGTGCAAGTCATTTCATTGAATTGCTTGCAATTTGCGTGCATCAGCTGCTTGTAGATAAACTTTAATGGAGTACTAAATGGATAATCTTTTTCAGACGGAAAGATAAATGAAGTAATAAATCGACATCCACAATAATATTTTTATAACACACTACAATTTTTTTGTATATAGTCTGTTTATTTCATTCTTTAAATGGACGGAAAAAATTAAATCTGGTATGCGTGCACGGTGCATTAACCATTTTTCATTTTATTAAAAAGTGGCAAAAGCTGACCATTTTTTCCGTTTACACTTAAATCAAAGAATTAAAAAGGACTATAGACGAAGAATAAATCATGGAATACATGTTAAAGGCACTGCCTAGACTTTTCTTTATACTTGAATTTCCTTGTGTGAACTAAAAAAGTTTTCCAACATGAAATGATGAAAATGTACGAAGGAAAATACCTTAGAAAAGTAGAAACTAGCTAATAGAAAAATCTCGGTTTCCTTTTAAAATTTATATGACCATGCCTGATTCATTCGCATCAATTAGTCAGACTTTAGCTTGCTCATCATATCCTCCTAATTTATTTGTGGAAATTAAGGGCCTGTTTGGTCATAAAAAAGTTTCCTTTTTTCGATTTTTTTTTTCACTTTTCTTCGGAATCAATGTTTGGCCATGAAAATTTCAAATTTCACTTGAAGTTGAATTTCAGAATTTTTTGAAATTTGAAAAACTACAGAAAAACTGTTTTTCAAAATTTTCATCCAAAGCACTCACAAAAATTCAAAACAGCTCCAAATTGAATTTATGTCCAAACATAACTCTACTTTTAAAATACCATTTTCAATTTGAAAAACAAAATCACTTTTTTCCGAAATTTCACTATTCTTATGTCCAAACGCCCACTAATTAAATCTCCTAATGATACTATATTTTAACTAGTCATGCTATTTAATTTAAATAAATTATTTCGAATTCAACTAAATTTCGGCGTCACTTATTGTCTTACTTCGTAATGCGTACGAGAAATAAATATTTTTTTTTTAAAAAAAAGCCTTTTTACACGTGAATTATGAGTAGGAAGTTATTAGCATAAATGAACCTCGAATATCTTCCATAGCTAAAAATAAAGGGAAATTGCTAAATCTTAGTTTTCCGGGGAGATTTTGTGAATTACTAAGAAAAGAACAATTAAAATTGTAAAAGGTAAGTCATTTAATATTATGTGAATAAATTTATTATATATTGGCAAATAATCATTAAATCTCTCATTCAGATTTGGTTTATCTAGATAGAAATATGGGAAGACATGGGCTCTATATATATAGTAGTAAATGATACACCACCATACTGTAAACTAATTAAATTGTTACTACTAAAATTATTCTTGGCTAATATATATCATGATTGTGCTTCTTCCCATGATGATATTAGCTTTCTTATTTGGCACTGTAATTTTTGTCTTAATCTTTCACCAATTCTTCTTTGTTAAACATGAGCCTAAGGGCTTACCTAGCGGGAGCATGGGCTTACCCTTTGTTGGAGAAACATTTGGCTTCTTTACTCCTCATAAATCATTCTCCATTGGCAACTTCTTGCAAGAACATCGCTCTAGGTACTTCATATCTATTTTTAGGCAAAATTTTATGCTTTCTCTTTATGCTGTTAACTATGGTCAAATGTGGCAAATGAGTTTGTTGAATCAAACTCAAGACATATCAAAACAAGTCTAATCAATATACGGTAATGATCATCCAACTCGTTCGAAATGTGTTTTTGATCAAGATAGATTAAATAACGGGATCGTAACCAAACAAACCCGTCTAATATGACACAACCTCTTCTTTTTCCCTTTTTTTCTTTTTTTCTTTTGCTTTTTGAAAAAGAATGTGAAAGCTATTGTATTTTCCTTATATATTAGCTTAATTTCTTCAAAAAATTGCATAATCGTCAAACTCCAAATATAATTTTGTATGTTTGGATTTGGGTTGTATTTTGACCCAATAATTTGTGAGTCATTTTGGGCTCAACCAGATCAAGTCTAAAAACCATCCAATCTGTTAAAACTTGAACGGGTTGAGCGAGTTACTAAAAATAATAAATTAATTTTATCGCCTCTAACAGTGCTCAAGATAATTTTTTATTTTATTTTTTGGCTTATTTCAGATATGGAAAAGTATTCAAATCCTATCTTTTCGGCTCTCCAACCATAGTTTCATGTGATTTAGAGTTCAGCATATTTGTCCTTCAAAATGAAGGCAAGCTGTTCCAAAGCAGCTACCCTAAATCAGTTAGAGATATTCTTGGAAAACACTCTTTGATGCTTGTCACTGGTGATCTTCACAAAAAATTCCGAAGCATTGAAGTTGGCCTCATCAATAAATTCAAGTGCAAACCCGATTTTCTCGCTTGTGTTGATAAGTTATGTAGCTCGTTAATGGAGTCGTGGAGAGGAAATCAATTGGTTCTCTTCTCAAAAGAAGCTAAACAGGTTCGGGAAGAAAATAATATCATACTAATTACTACGTACCTTTGGTCAATATTATCTGATATTAATTTACTTGTTATTTTTCGATAACGATAAATATTTTTGAACAAATTCAGTTTGTATTTGCAGTTTAGCTTTAATTTGATGTTGATGAATGTACTGGACATGGAACCTGGAGAGCCACTAGCTTTGCAATTATTAGAAGATTTCTTGACTTTCATGAAAGGATTTGTGTCCATTCCAATAAACCTTCCTTGGACATCCTATGCCAAGGCTCTTAAGGTGCTCTTACAATATTTTATGTTTGGTGTGTTTGATATGACATAAAATACTATTTATCTTTCAAAAAATAAGTTATTTTCTTGTGTTTGAAAAAAAAAAAGATTTTACCAAAAGGGAAAAAATGACTTTCCTCACTTTTGGGCGAAAGTGATTTTCCTTCACAATTATTTCAATCCTTAACTTTATATCTCTGTTTTAACTAACAATTAGACATTGTTATCAATTTTTAGTACTCAAATTTTTTAATCAAAAAATGCTATCAAGCTTGCTAATATTATTATTAATCTTTAAAAATTATTTTTCACTCTCCAACAAATAAACACCAGAAAGTTATTTCAAAAAATTTTGAAAAATAACTTCTGTTTTACCAAACGCTCCGGATTCAACTACAGCATCTTCTAGTGAGTACATTAGTGCCTTTAATGATTGATTCGTTCTCTTCGCGCAGGCTCGTACGAGGATCTCGTCCACCTTGAAGCAAGTACTGAAAGATAGAAAAAAGAGAAAAGATTTGGGGATTAATGGGATAGCCAAAGAAGACGTTTTTAATGAGAATTTATTGAAAGGATACTTAAGTGATGCGGAGAAAGTAAGCATTTTGCAAGACCTTCTGTTGGCTGGTTATGAAACAACCTCAGGACTTCTGTCCCTACTCGTCTATTTTCTTGCCCAATCACCACAAGCTCTCCAGTACATGAAGGTATAAGAAAGCAAATATATCAACTCATTTTAACTTGATCTTCAATTACTGGGCGGCCCAATAAAATTGGTGGCCTAACGTCAACATGTAACGGGAGGCCCTATTCGAATTAATACTCCCCCATTTCAGTGTGAACTTATTTTCATCCTTTTTAGTCCGTTTAAAATAACAAGACCCCTTTATAATTTTTAAGACAATTTAATTACCAATACTAACACATATGCATCATATGATCAGGATGAACATCGAGCATTGAGGAGAAAGAAAAAGGAAGGGGAACCCCTAAACTGGGAAGATTATAAGCAAATGAAATTCACCAGTATGGTAAATATTCCCGAATCTAGTCTTTCAAGTAAAACTGACCAATCTAGCTGGGATTTGATTTTGTAAATATTTTTTACATCATGAATGCACTTAAAATCTTATTATAATTCAGGTCATTAATGAGACTCTACGTTGTGGCAACTTGGTGAAGTTTGTGCACAGGAAAGCTGTCAAGAATGTAGAATTCAAAGGTTTGTTAACCAATATTCATATAAGATTTTTTATTGCTTCCAACCCTGGTTTACTACTTTAATTTAAGCCATTCGCATTATTCATATATACATATAATCATTTCGAAAATCTGAATATATCAACTAGAAGAAATACAAGATTTATGTCATATAAATGTTCAACTTCTTTTATCAATGTAATGGAAGTGCAGAATATTATATACCAGCCGGATGGAAAGTCCTTCCTATCTTGTCTGTTGTACATCTTGATCCGTCCCTGCATCAAAATCCATCAGAATTCAACCCTTGGAGATGGATCGTAAGTATTTCTTTTTTCTTTCCAAGTAACACTTTTCTATAAACAATAGATTAAAATCCATTTCCAGGATCCAACAACAAGCAAGAAGGTGATTCCATTCGGAGGTGGATTACGGCTATGTCCAGGGTGGGAACTCGCTAAATTGGAAGCAGCTTTATTCCTACACCATCTTGTTATCAATTACAGGTATTATAATCAGAGATGGCAATTAATGATTCAATTTGTTCAAATTTCGCTTAGGATAAAATTTAAAAGTTGAGTCCAATAAATGAAATAACATGCCATAATCGNAACTCGCTAAATTGGAAGCAGCTTTATTCCTACACCATCTTGTTATCAATTACAGGTATTATAACCAGAGATGGCAAAATAACTCAATTTGTTCAAATTTCGCTTAGGTTAAAAAGAAAGTTGAGTCGAATAAATTAAATAACATGTCATAATCAACCTGTCCAGAATAAGTACTTATAACGCTACATCCTCTCTTTTTTGTGTTGCATTTTGAATAAATAATGTGGAACTTAATGTTTCTTGAATTATTAGTTTAAGCTTTTTCTAAATTTACGTAGTTCCCCATCTGTAGATTTGATTTTGTATGTTTGGGTCTGGTTTGCATATTGGCCCGTCTGGTGGCACTATTTTGACTTGTTTAGACAAATATTTTGATAGCTCATTCGAGTTTGATCTGTTAGATCAAGTCGGTAAAGGGTTTACAACTCAATCGATTGAACTTGAACGAATTATTAAAAATGGATTAACTTTGCCGCCTCTGCTAATAGTACTTTAGTATTTCTCTAAGTAGTAGTCCAGCGACCTTATTCACTATCTTCAGCTTTAGTATATGTTTGCAAATGCACGTGTGTTCGTGTGAAAAGTTAAATAGAATACATGCCCATATATGTGCACATATTTATTATACAATATAAACACATGGAATAATATATACTATATATATATATACATACACACAGTTGAGTCATAATGCTAATTTAAATTTTGGTATGTTCTTAATTAAGTTCTAATCCTATTTTATCTAATAAAATATTCATCAATTGTGTAGGTGGACAGCGAAAGAAGATGATAATCCAATGTTGTATCCATATTTGGAATTCCCGAAAGGATTACTAATGACTTTGGAAGCAGAAACAAACAAATTTTGAGGATATTATTTCTTTAAGGTGAAGGACGACAGGACAAAGTGATAGAATAAGATTAATAGAAGTAATTGTTTGACAAATTTTAAATAACAAAAATATGCTGCAGATTTACCAAGGTTGAGCTTATGGCAATTATTTTTACGACTATGTAAAATTCTCCTTCTACATATACTTTTTCATCGTCGTTTTGGTAGACATTTCATTTACGATCAAAATAAATATTATTCGTCAATTGTCAGTGGTTAAGTGGTAACCTTTGGGTCCCAAAGCCCAAATGCACGTGCAGCATGCCACTTCAATGACAACAAAAATTGTCCCTCGTCATCATTTTCTGCACCCAACTCCACTTTAATAGGAGTACTCAACATTCACCTTTAACACTAAAAAATGAAAAAAAGAATCACATGTAATAACAACAACAGAAAATAACTATCTATCCATAGAACGATATAATTAAATTTGTTATTTTGTACTGATTTGATCCAAAAATAATAAAAAAATAAGATTAAAAATGAGATTTAGTAATTGAAACTGAAGAAGATGACAAGCCTAACTTCGAGCGCAATGTCTCTAAGAACAAAAGTGAAAACAATTATAAAGAACAAGTAAGGTTGTTTAATTGAGAGCAAAAGTAACATACAGCATATGTTTGCAAAGAATTTTGTCCCTTACCATGGCTCTTGGGCCTATTATTTATAACTTTATCTAGGGAAGAAAGATCCTAGGATCAAGCTGTTCTTAAATAGTAATAAAAATGTCATTGATGAATATATAACGGCAAATCATGAATGAAAATATTCTCTGTAACGGTCACTCATTTAATGTTAGAGAACATTCTCTCATTAAATACTATTCGATGGCAAGTACTTGATCTGCTCCCTCTGACTACGCTCCCTTCGGAATTTACCTGATGTCGTTTGTAATTGTTATATCCTATACTAGTTATTTGACTTGCCTTTTACCTATCTTTGATTCTACATGTCACACTACCATTCATCCATTTATTATAATCCAATTTCCCCATACAAGAACAACGTCTATTAAAAATGTTTCAGTTCAAGAAGATTGGTGGATTGTGAAAGAGTTTGAGCATTCAATTTGAAAATTTTTAAGGGCAAAGAATGGAATAGTCCAATAGATCGTTATAAATTACTTCGAAAATTATTGTACAACTGATGAGGAACAAATGCAACGTGGACAAGTTGGAAGAATATTAACTAAATATTTTTCATCTTTAATAACTATGCCTACAATTAGGGGCAAACAGGTGAATCGGGTCGGATATAAGCGAGTCAAAGACGGATAATTTAAAAAACGGAAAAATTAGCCGACCCGAACCATATTTAATACGGATAAAAAACGGGTTACCCGGCGGATAATATGAATATCCATATTATCCATGGCTTCTTAAATATGATCACTTTTGGGAGAATTCCTAATCTCCCAAATTTGAGGAATCCTCAATTTGAGGCTTTACAAATATAAAAGTTAAATCCATTAGTTATCCATTGGTTATCTATTTTTTAAGTGAATAATATGGTTCTTATTCATATTCAACCCGTTTTTAAGAAGGTCATTATCCAACCCATTTTCTAATGAATAATATAGGTGGATAACTATTTACTTTTAACCATTTTGCCACATTTACCTACCATTTTGGATGGATTTTCAGTCGCACCTCAACATTCAATATTTAGAAAGAAAAAAGAAAAAAAGGCAAGGAAGCTGCTAATCAAAACCATCAACACTTTTGTTCCATGTATTTACTGATATTGAATTAGGCAATTGTCCAACAAAGTTGCTCCTCAGATGGGTGCTCTTTAGGCCTCAGGGGACATATTTCTTTGTTTTTATGTGACGTAGTAAGTTCGTGTTTGAATGAACAGGGTACGTATAAGGCATTAGAAGTAAGTGTAGGTAAGCCTTTAGAGATATATATTATTTCGACATTGGAATAGATTTATGGTTTTGTTATATATTCTGGTTTCCCACTATAACATAAATTGCCAGAAAAAGGAAGACTTTCAATATCTATATGAATCTCAATGCATATCAACATAGTCGCCATGCATATATATATATAATATGTACCCACTCTCTAATTTATATGTATACTGTATACGGTCGAAATCGAGCTCGCCTACGACATGGTAGGTCAGGTTCGGAACATGGCAATAAGACTGAAGATCGACCCCAAGTTCCACCGGGCTAGAACCCGGGGTTGAAACGCTCGCCTTCGAGAATATCGAGGTCGTGATCTCGGAATCGATCATAACCCCGAACGAGCTCGAAGAAACATTGTTAGCATAACAGAAGACCGAAATATCTGTGACCGGTCGGATATTGCGGCGGAAATCTCGGCACGTATCAATGAGGAACTGGCAATCAGCAAATCAAGAGATTTTTTACCTTTTATAGAATTGTACTTAAAGTATGACTCATCTACTATGTAAAGAGGGTCTGATAATTTATTTAGCATATTGTAACACGCATTCCGAAGCAATACATTATTATTTTTCTCTTTAAGCTCTTGTCCTTCTGTATCGTGATACCGATCAAAGTGCATCTGGCTCGAGGGTGGCTAACCTTCCGAGATTGAAACTGTCCAATTAGTGTGGTTTGAATTTACTTTATCATTGTTTATTTCAATTGCAACTTAATTTATCACTTTGTATCAAGTTAATCCGCATATCCTTAAAACCACTTACAAATTCAATTGCTATCCGATTTTGAGGAAAAACAGTTTGGCGCACACTTTGGGGCTAAGGATAATAGTGGTTATTTGATACAAATTTCCATAACACACATTACTTTACACTTGTTCTTTGAAGTGTCTCTAATTTCAGGTTAAAGCTCAAAAAAATGTCAAACTCTCAATCAGCACCCCTACATGTTGACAATGAGTCCGGCCATCACGGTGAAAATAACAACATAGTGCCCAATGACGAGGTACCGCCCGCTGATCCCATCGGAACTCTGGTCGCTGACCCGATTGACGTTAATTCGCATGTGGCTATCAACGCAAACCTGCCTACCGATTCCGAGAATAGTGTCCGTGGTGGAGCCCGATCGGCGGCTCAAAATACACAAAATATTGGAGGAGACAGGATCAATTTATGGATGATCTTCGAAATGTTACATGCTTAACAGGCGGCGATAGCTCAGTTACAAAACCAAAACAGCACACCGAGGAGAATTGAACCCGATCCATCCCGGGAAGTCACCCACGAGGATGAACCGGTCGCAAAGAGGTCGAATGAAAATAAATCGGGGACTAACCCCGAGATCATAAAGATGCTCGAGGAACTAAAAAAACGGGTAGAATCAGGGGAGAAGAAAATCGAAGCTAATGATAAAAAGGTAGAAACCTACAATTCCAGGGTCGACCAAATCCCAGGCGCACCGCTGCTATTGAAAGGCCTGGATTCCAAGAAGTTCGTACAAAAACCTTTTCCTCTGAGCGCGGCTCCAAAGTCAATCCCTAAGAAGTTCTGCATGCCCGTGATTCCTAAGTACAACGGAACGACCGACCCAAACGAGCATGTTACCTCCTACACATGTGCCATCAAAGAGAACGACTTGGAGGATGATGAGATCGAGTCTGTCTTGTTGAAAATGTTCGGAGAGACCCTATCAAAAGGAGCTATGATATGGTATCACAACTTACCTCCTAATTCTATCGACTCATTTGCTATGCTTGCAAATTCTTTCGTAAAGGCACACGCCGGGGCTATCAAGGTCGAGACCAGGAAGTTGGACCTTTTCAAAGTAAAATAGAAGGATAATGAGATGCTCAGAGAGTTTGTGTCCCGGTTTCAAATGGAACGGATGGACCTGCCACTGGTCCCTGATGATTGGACCGTTCAGGCTATCACCCAAGGACTCAACATTCGGAGCTCGTTGGCTTCACAATAGTTGAAACAAAACTTAGTGGAATATCTGGCTGTCACTTGGGCCGATGTAAATAACCGGTATCAATCAAAAATCAGAGTCGAAGATGATCAGCTTGGGGCCCCTTCCGGGTCCGTATATCCTGTCAGAACCATCGACAGAGTTAAGAGAGACATCGATCATGAACCGAGATCAAACAGGGATCGGTATCAGTCGTACAATGGGGACCGAAGAAACAGTAGGTCTGGATGGAACTTTATGAGAAACAAAAGGAGAAGTGATCGAAGTAAGAGCAACCGAGGACTCATGAGCAAAAAAAGCTTCGACGGGCTCGTCGGGCCTAAAGAAGCGCCAAGATTATCGGAGTACAACTTTAACGTCGATGTCGTCGCTATAGTATCTGCCATCGGATGTATCAAAGATACTAAGTGGCCTAGACCTTTACAGTTTGATCCAGCCCAAAGGGATCCCAACCTAATGTTGAAATATCATGGCACTCATGGCCACAAAACAGAAGACTACCGACAATTAAGGGAAGAGGTGGGCCGATTGTTCAACAACGGGCATCTCCGAGAATTCCTGAGTGATCGGGCCAAGAACCACTTCAGGAACAGGGATTCTAATAAGCAGACCGAGCAGGAAGAGCCTCAGCACGTCATTAACATGATCATCGATGGAGTCGACATTCCCAGGGTCCGATGTTGAAGCGTACCAAAGCATCCATCACAATGGAAAAATGGACTCGGGATTACATACCGGAAGGAACCTTGTCTTTAAACGAAGAAGATAATATGTTATTGGATTGTTGTGGGTTAAAGAGTTTTTTCAATTAAAGTGACAATTTGAAATAGGGATTATCTTATTGTTCAGAGTCGCCACTTGGAATTGATTTTTGGGTGTTGCAAGTCACCTTTTATTTGAATCCCTAATCAAAGGAAGATTTGACTCCTTTAGTATTGGTCTGCGAAAATAAAGTCCAAGTAAGGAATTCCGTTGATCGGGGAGAAGGTTTAAAGCATTTTCCGAGTCCCGTGGTTCTAGCACGATCGCTTTATTTACTACAACTTGGCTTGAATTAATTTTGGGCAAATTGTGATTTATTGATTCTTATGTTTTACATATGTGCGCTTTTATTGCTTGATTAGATTTATGAAATTTATCTTGAAACGAACCACGTGTGTGTGAATCCGTTTTATTTAGTGTATTAAAATCATGTCACGCGTACTTGTATGATTAATAACACCTTATTATTTATTAAGATTGTTTCGCTCAAAGTTACGCGAACGCATACTTCAGTTTTAGTTTGGGAATCATGGTCATGTCACGCGAACGTATACATAATCATAGTGATTGATTTAATTAATAAAGCGCCTAAAGCATATTAATTGTTTTCATAATTTGTTGTTTTCCTACCTTTGAGATTGTTGTGAGGCTCGAGAGTTATTATTGGAGCTATTTAAACAATTGTTTGTTATGTAAAATAAGCCAAATCACTTATCTCAAACCAAGTGTTAATGTTTTGAATATTAAAATGTAAGAATAAATTAAAGCCCAAAATTACATCAATTACCATAAACCCGTGAATTTACAAAGCCCAACATGATTAACTGTCCTAAACTTCCAATGAATTCAAACAAAGCTTCTTTAATCCAACATGATGCTAATGTATTAACTATAATGAGGGGAGATAGAAAATTAACATACAACAAATATTAAATTATAAATAATGAGCTAAGCATGAATCTTACAGATCAAGTCATGGTATAAGACAAAAGACTAGCTAATTAAAACTATTACTAAAGATAAAACAACACAGAATAGCAACAAATAACCAGAATCTTTCACTATGCTAGCAAGACCAAATTGAGATGACATAAGTGTAAAGAATGGACCTTATTGCTTAAAACTTCCTTTACATTGAAGAACCTCTACCGATGCCAAAATACAAGGAAATTGGCAACTACAATTTGACCGAAGCAAGAGCAAAACAGGGAGCTTCAAACGCAACAGAGCCAATCGACCATAACCTCGACGACGACCTCAAACCAAGATCTAGACGAAAATTATACCGACTCGACTAGCTTTGGACAACTAGTTCCGGTGTAAAATGGGTCGTTTCGATGGATGTTTGTGGCTGGTTTTGGATGGTGTTTCGTCGGGTTTTTGGTGCTGATTTTGGGACGGATTTTCTGGGTTATTCGGACTGGTTTTTTTAGCAATTTTGCAGCTGGTTTGGCTCCTCTTTGGAGCTATCTTGCGGACGGTTTTTAGGGCTGGTTTGGGTGACGTTTTGGGTTGAGTTTTAGGGTATTCTTGGGGGTGTTTTAGAGCTGGACTTTGGGGTTATTTCTGCTCGTTTTTAGTGGTTAAAACTTGGAGTTCATGGGCTGAAAATGGAGCTGAAGTTACAGCTCTTTGTTGGGTTTGAGGGCTGGACAGTGATGGTTTTAGGTGGTCTTTACAATGGGGTTTTGGTGTGGAAACAAGGCTGATCTTGATGGAGGTTTTGGTGTGGAAACAAGATGAAGGTGTGGTCTGTTGGAGTTGATAGAGGGAATGAGGGTAGCGACTGTCTTCTCTTTTGGGGAGAGGGATCCGTTTGTTTTTAGGGAATTAGGGAGATGTGGGGGGTTGTGAGTGGGGACAAGCATAGGGGACAAGGAGTGGAGGACAAGGAAAAATGGAGTGGGGACAAAGAGTGGGGGGTAAGGGAAAGTAGAGCGGGGACACGCGTGGGAAGATGGGAGCGGGGAAGATAGAGTGAGAAGTGAGATATTGGTGAGATGAATGGAAAAAATTCAAGCACAGTCAAAAATTAGGTGCTCACGGCATGCCCCTCTTTGCTTGAAAACATGAAGAGTTTTCAGGCAAAGAAAAGATGAGCGATATGACTAATTTTTGGCCATACCATTATTCAAAAGGGAAGAGATAAGAGAAAAGAGTGCAACCGAGTCTTGGTTTGGGCAGCCTACATATCCCGAGTATAAGGGAATCAAGTCGCGTGTAGTTCAAGAAAAGTGATGGAATGATGACTTGGGGAGTCGAGTGAGGTTCCGTCAAGGCTCCGGTCTTTAGTTCTATTATTACATCGAAATCAAAAGAAACTAAACAAGCCTATCAGCTATGAGTTACAAGATTCCTATTTATAAATCTTTGAAGCTTGATCTTGAGTCTTGACTAGTTGTTCATGCAGACTCTGATATGAACCTTGATGCTTGCTAGATGTAGGTGCTAGTTCATTCTTCTACGGCTTCTTCTGAGCAAAACGGGAAATATGAAGCTCGTAACTTCAGTCATGTCTTGAGCAGTCCATATCCGTTTCATCTGCTTCTGCATTTGTATTCACTTCTTTTCCTTTTCTTTTCTTTATTCTGGATTGAGACTTCTTCTTTTATTCATCTCGAAACCTGTGCCTCGAGGTAAAATCTGCTCAGACATCACAACAAACAAACAAACGAAAATTTTCTACCCTGGTTTTCACTAGAATATTTTCGTGAGTTATTGTAACAAAATTCTAAACTATTTCTTTATTGAAAGCAATAAAAAAACGGGAATGGTGTACCCTAAAAAGGTCATGACGATTTTTTTTTATATTTTTTTTATTGTCCCAAAAGAATGTCTCAACTAAGGATTAGTGTACCTTATGTTGGGAAAATATGGCCAGGGAATGGGATACCCTATATTGGCAATGATATCAAGGAGTGGTGTATCCTACATTTAAAATCAAATCAACTAGGCTGTGGTGTACCCTATGTTAGAGAACACAACTAGAAATTGGTGTACCCTATACTGGTAAGAAAATATAATCAGGGGATGGCGCCCTGTATTACTGAAAAAGAAATGTAACCAGGAGTTGGCGTCCTGTATTACTGAAAAAGAAATGTAACCAGTGGTTGGCACCCTGTATTACTGAAAAGGAAAATATAACCAGGGGTTGGCGCCCTGTATTACTGAAAAAGAAATGTAACCAGGGGTTGGCGCCTTGTATTACTGAAAAAGAAATGTAACCAGGGGTTGGCGCCCCGTATTACTGAAAAGGAAATATAACCAAGGGTTGACGCCCTGTATTACTGGAAAGGAAATGTAAACAGGGGTTGGCGCCCTGTATTACTGGAAAGAAAATGTAACCAGGGGTTGGCGCCCTGTATTACTGAAAAGGAAATGTAACCAAGGGTTGGTGCCCTGTATTACTGGAAAGGAAATGTAACCAGGGGTTGGCGCCCTATATTACTAAAAAGGAAATGTAACTAGGGGTTGGCACCCTGTATTACTGGAAAGGAAATGTAACCAGGGGTTGGCGCCCTGTATTAATGAAAAGAAAATGTAACCAGGGGTTGGCGCCCTGTATTACTGGAAAGGAAATGTAACCAGGGGTTGGCGCCCTGTATTAATGAAAAGGAAATGTAACCAAGGGTTGGCGCCCTGTATTACTAGAAAAGAAATATAACCAGGGGTTAGCGCCCTGTATTAATGAAAAGGAAATGTTACCAGGGGTTGGCGCCCTGTATTAATGAAAAGGAAATGTTACCAGGGGTTGGCGCCCTGTATTACTGAAAAGGAAATGTAACCAGTGATTGGCGCCCTGTATTACTGAAAACAAATGCTGAATCCCCTCGGAGAAAAGGTTCTACCAGGGTTAAACTATGAAAAGCAAGCCTGGACAAAGTGTACTTCTACCCGGATTAAGCTACAAAAATCAAATCTGGGCGAAAAGTACTTCTACTCGGAAATATGAGCTGGATCCCCCAGGTGAAAATGTTCTAATTGGGTTAAGCGACGAAAAGCAAGCCTGGGCGAAAAGTACTTCTACCCAGAAATATGAGCTGGATCCCCCTAGGCGAAATGGTTCTACCCGAGTTAAGCTATGTATAAAAACCTGAGTGAAGAGTACTTCTACCCGAAAATATGAGCTGGATCGCCCTAAGCGAAATAGTTCTACCTGAGTTAAGCTATGTATAAAAACCTGAGCGATGAGTACTTCTACCCGAAAATATGAGCGGGATATCCCTAGGCGAAATGGTTCTACCTGAGTTAAGCTATGTATAAACATCCTGAGCGAAGAGTATTTCTACCCGGAACTATGAGCTGGATCCCCCTAGGCGAAAAGGTTCTACCTGGGTTAAGCTACGTAAAACAAGCTTGAGCGAAGAGTACTTCTACTCGGAACTTATGAGTTGGATCCCCCTAGGAGAAAAGTTTCTACCTGGGTCAAGCTACTAAAAACAGCCTGGTCGAAGAGTACTTCTACCAGGAACTGTGAGCTGGATCCCCCTAGGCGAAAAGGTTCTACCTGGGTTAAGCTACGTAAAACAACCTGAGCGAAGAGTACTTCTGCGCGAAAATATGAGCTGGATCCCCCTAGGCGAAAAGGTTCTACCTGGGTTAAGCTACGTAAAATAACCTGAGCGAAGAGTACTTCTACCCGGAAAGTATGAGCTGGATCACCCTAGGCGAAAAGGTTCTACCTGGGTTAAGCTACAAAATATATCATGGGCGAAGAGTAGATCTACCCAGAACTGTGAGCTGGATCCCCCTAGACGAAAAGGTTCTACCTGGGTTAAGCTACGTAAAAACAAATTAGGCGGGGAGTACTTCTACCCGGAAATATGAGCAGGATCCCCCTAGGCGAAAAGGATCTACCTAGGTTAAGCTACGTAAAACAGCCTTAGCGAAGAATACTTCTACCCGGAAACTATGAGCTGGAT